CCCTCTCATTAATAGTTGAGATTGTAAAGTATGACGAACACATTTCTGCTGTTCTTAATGGTAGTTTTTTTGCATTTTCAAGTTTCAACTTTCAAAACATTTGTTAGTTTTTAACAATAAACTAATAATAAAAAGATTTGCTCTGACTTCTCTCTTCCATGGAAACGTCCCCAAATCCAAGACCATCTGCTCAAGAAAACGATCTCTTGTGTAGATCAATCAAGAGAATTAAAGGTGATGAATACCCTCCAATTGCAGAGGAGTACCAGATGGTTGAGCCTGCGGCACAATCACTTTCCTACAGAGATCTAGTTATGAGATCGGAACCGCCAATTGAAATTAGCTGTGATGTATCCTCTAATCTGGGTTATCTAGAGGAAGAATCTGACATGGAAGATGATGGTTCTATACCTACTCTTCTCATTTCTAAAGAAGAGAAAAGGCGAATCCGCTCTCCGTGGGTGAATTCCATAATTATCAAAGCTTTTGGTACTGATGCTGCTGGGTATAACTTCATCTACCCAAGAATTAAGGCACAGTGGAAACCCAAAGGCCGTATGGACTGCATCGATTTGGGGTTGGATTTCTTCCTCATTCGGTTCCAAGAGCGAGAGGACCACCTGAGGGTTCTTAGTGGGGGTCCCTGGTTTGTTGGGCCTTTTTATTTAACAATACGTCAATGGGAACCTTCCTTTAACCCTGAGACAGCTGCTTTCACTACCACAGCTATCTGGGCAAGGCTTCCCCGACTACCAATTGAGTACTATGATACCAAGATTCTTGAAAGAATTGGTAATCTTTTAGGCACTCCTCTTCGAATTGATGCGCATACGGTTCACAAATCAAGAGGTCAGTATGCAAGAATCTGTATTCAGGTGGATTTAGATGAGCCTCTGATTCCATGCATTAAAATTGGCAATCATGTCCAAAAAATTCTCTACGAAGGTCCGGTTGCTTTATGTTTTGCCTGTGGGTGTGTGGGTCATAAAGAAAATAAATGTCCCCTTAAAGTTCCCCCTCTTGCTGATCCTGTTCCTATGGAAAGGGAAAATAATAGTCAATCGCAATCTGGTGTGATAGCTACTGATCAAGAATTGGAAAATAAAGACCAAAATTCTTTTGGACCATGGATGGTGGTCGAAAGGAAGAAAGGTAAAAAGAAGTTGAACAACAAGAATTCTCAGCTCTCATTACAAAATGAGAAACAGGACTCTACCCAGAGAACCAACTCAGTGAGCGAACTCGGAAACCATTGGAAAGAACGTAAGCATGTGGGTCCCAAAACCAACGGGTCTGGTGCAGGAGCATTAAATGACCATACCGTTTATCAAAATGGCACTCGGGAACCGGTCCAAAACTCTAGTATCTCTTCAGAAGTTGGGCCTGTTCGTAAAGGGTCCATGGTAAGTTTGGATGTTGAGATTACAGCCCATACTGATCCTAACTCTTCTTTGGTGCAGGTCAAACAAAAAGGTCGTAAAGATAAGGTCTCTAATAAGGATAAGATTACATCTAATGCCAAAGAAACACGTGGTAAGATCATTTCACGAACAGAGCAAAAAGAAAGCTCTGAGAATGGCCAGAACCTACAAGTTGAATCGCCCTCCTCCGATCGAAATGTGGGTCATGGATCCGAGGTCTTTCGGGATGTTGAGCCGAGTGTGGGACATCTTGCTGGTCAAAGAGGACAACAAAGTCCTCCCAATGGAGAAGGCACTGTCACTTATACTAGAAAGGGACTCCAGTCCAGTCGAAGGGTGGGATCGGGACACAATTATAAGGAAATGGACCAGCCCCATTGTGTTTCAAAAGGGGGTAGATCTCACTCCTTACCTTCCCCCTCCGATAGAGTGGGTTCCTCTTTCGCCTCATCTCCAAGCTCCGGATATGTGCATAATAACGAGTGCACAATGGAACTCGATGGGGGATCAGACGGGGTGGGACATATGGGAGGATCAAATCTCACCTCAAATCACATCCATTCCCCAGAATTGCCCATTTTTGAACAAGATCTCGATGATGGGATGCATGAAGACAGTCCACCTGATTGTCCGAAAGGAGGAGGTTCCATGTTCCATGGGGGATCGGTTCATGCAGATCATACTCCTTTTTTACTTTCCAAAGGTGAACATGCTAATCAAGAGTTGTCAGACGGGGGCCGTCCAGTGGATACAAGAACTGGGCAGATGGGTCATGAACTCTTTCAGTGACTCTGTTTGGTCAATGAAGATTATGTCTTGGAATTGCCGCGGTGCGGCTAACAACAACTTTAAGCGATCTATGATGGATATTAAAAGAGAACATAATCCTGGTATCTTTGTTATCATGGAGACTAAGTTGGCAGGGAATAGGGCTGTTGAAGTTGCTCAAAGTCTCGGATATCCCAAGTGGGAGATCGTCGACGCTGATGGTTTTGCTGGAGGCATTTGGTTGCTTTGGGATGATACTCGCTTTACCATTGACATTCTGAACAAAGGGTCTCAAGCTATCCACGGCTTGGTTCAGGTAAAAATTCATCCTTTTCTTTCTAATTTTCATTGGTATTTTTCTGCAGTGTATGGTAGACCTCAGTTTGAAACTAGATGTTTGCTTTGGGATAACCTTATGGAATTCTCCCAAAATATCACTGGTTCTTGGTTGGTTGTTGGAGACTTTAATGATGTTATTGCACAATCTGAAAAGTTTGGGGGCAATCCTGTTCCATTCTATAGGATTCGTGTGTATACTGAGTGTATGAACTGATGTGGTTTAATAGATTTAGGCTTTAGAGGGCCTAAGTTCACCTGGGTTAATATGAGAGAGCATAATCAAATTATCAGGGAAAGATTAGATAGGGCCTGGGCAAACCCCCTGTGGAAGGAGGTGTTTCCTGAGGCTCTTGTTAAGCATCTCCCTCGGATCTCTTCTGATCATTGTCCCATTATGGTGGTTTTGAATCCTTTCATCCCTACTATTGGTAACAAACCATTCAGAATTGAAAAATTCTGGATGGATCATCACTCTTTTAAGGATCTTGTTGCTATTCACTGGAATCATTCTACCCTCCCTCTTGCATGCTGCTCCACCAATTTTAAATCTGCTGTTAAAGTTTGGAGCAAAACTACCTTTCATAATATCCATAAAAAGAAGAAGGAGATTATTGCTCGGCTTATTGGTATCCAAAGATATCTCCAGTTTAAAAATAGCAATTTCCTCCTTCACCTTGAACGAGAACTCACTAGTGAGTATCAAAGGATTCTCAAACAGGAAGAAGATATGTGGTTCCTAAAATCTCGTGCCCAATGGATCCAGGAGGGGGACAAAAAATACTAAATTTTTTCATGTTTCTACCCTCAAAAGGAGATCTTACAATAGAATCATTAGTCTTAAGGACCATAATGGGATTTGGTATCGTGATCTTCTTGATTTGTCTAAACTTGTTGTTACTCATTTTCAGGATCGTTATACTACTTCTCTTTCCCAGTCTCAGCATGATTCTTTTGATTGTATCACTAGTGGCCCTAGAATTGATGACAGTAAGTGGGGAAGTCTTTCTTCTCTTCCTACTGATACTGAAATTTGGGCTACTATTAAGTCTATGGGGCCTTGGAAAGCCCTAGGCCCGGATGGCCTCCATGTTGCTTTTTTCCAGCAATTCTGGGATTTAATTAAGGATAAATTATGTCATGAAATTAGATTAGTTTTTTCCATGGGTATTATCTCGGAAGCTTGGAATGCTAGCCTTATTGCTCTTGTTCCCAAAGTCCAAAATCCTGAGTCTATTTCTCAATTTCGACCGATAGGATTATGCAATGTGGTTTATAAAATTGTTACTAAGCTTATTGTTCTTCGGTTGCGTGGTCTCATAGGTGATCTCATCTCCCCTCTTCAAACTAGCTTCATTCCTGGTAGGAAGGGAATTGACAATGTTCTCATCCTAAGGGAGTTTGTCTATAGCTTTTCTAAAAAGAGAGGTAGAATAGGTGATATGATTATCAAACTTGATTTAGAAAAGGCCTATGATAGGTTAGAATGGAGCTTTGTTAGAGAAGCTCTCATATTCTTTAATTTTCCACCTATTTTGATTTCCATTATCATGTCATGTCTTTCTTCAACTAATTTTGCTATTGTGATTAATGGGAGAACTTCTGATAGCTTCGAACCTTCTAGGGGTCTTCGTCAAGGGGATCCTCTTTCTCCTTATTTATTCATGCTTTGTGTCGAGTTCCTCTCTATGAAACTGCAAGGTGATTCTAGTATGGGAGGATGGAAAGGGACTAAATTGGGGAAATGTGGTCCCGTTATCTCTCATCTCTTCTTTGCTGATGATTGATGATTTAATTTTCATTGGTAAAGCGAGTTTGAGTAATGCCACATATCTTGAAAACTTGCTAGCTTTCTTTTGTCAAAGATCTGGACAAAAGATCAACCTAAGCAAATCAAAGGTTCTTTTCTCCCAAAATGTGTCTATTGAGACTAAACTCAACATTTGTGCCAAGCTTAATATCCCTGAAACCCATTCGCTTGGTAAATATTTGGGGTTTCCTATTTCCCCCAAAAGATTATCTAAAGCTGATTGCTCCTTCATTGTTGACAAAGTGAGAAGCAAGTTAACTGGTTGGAAAGCTAGTATGCTGTCCAGAGCTGGTAGAGTCACTCTTGCCTCCTCGGTTTTATCTGCCATTCCTAACTATTATATGCAGGGTGCTTACCTACTCGAGTCTATCCATAAGGAGTTGGACAGCCTTACCAGGCAATTTATTTGGGGGTCAACTGGTGAGAAAAGGAAAACCCATCTTGTTTCTTGGGATAGAATTACTCAACCTAAGAAATTGGGTGGTCTTGGCTTACGCTCCTCTAAAGAAGCTAACCAAGCTTTGATGGCTAAAGTTCAATGGAGAATGATCTCGGAGAAAGATAGATTGTGGTCTAAAGCATTTTGTGAGAAATATAAAATTCAAGACCCTAAAAGTAATTTCAAAAAAGCATCCCCTGTCATGCATAACATTGCCAAAGGTAATCACATCCTTATGAAGGGTGTTAAATGGATTCCACGTTCAGGTGACAAGGTATTATTTTGGACTGATATTTGGGTTGGTAATAGACCTCTCACAGATTTGTTGTTTGGTCCTTTTACTCTTGACAGCCTTAACCAAAAAGTTAAGGATGTCTTCCTCCCTTTCGGTCAGTGGAAGTGGGAAAAGATTGCTTATTCTCTTCCATTTGAACTTAAACAGCAAATCATGGCTATCCCTATGCAAACTGTTGCTCTAGGGCAGGATGGTTATTCTTGGGGTCCTTCACATAATGGTCTTTTTCAAGTTAAGTCTGCCTATTGTGTGGCTAAGAGTATTTCTTTTAGTCAAAAGGACTCTTGGACTTGGGTATGGTCCCTTTGCACTTTGCCAAGGATTCAACATTTTATTTGGCAACTGAGACATGAAAGGCTTCTAACTAGAGATACCCTATATGGTTGGGGGGTTGGTGAGTCTAATTTATGTGCTTTATGCGGAGATGCTCCTGAAACTCTTGACCATCTTTTTCGAGAATGTTCATTCTCTAATCTTCTTTGGACTGTCATCACTCCCTACCAACTTAATGCTATCGCTCAAGATTTGTGTTTTACAGAATGGTTGGAAAAAAATTGCTGTAACCATTCTGATGAGGAGGGAATTAAATGGAGTACCATATTTGCTACCACCATCTGGGCATTATGGTTCTTCAGAAATCAGAGAGTTCACAAAGGGATTTCTTTTTCTATTCAGCAAGCCAAAGAGTTCATTTACTCCAAGGCTAGAGAATTTCAGCCTACTTGTAATACACATGTGGAAAATCTTAACAAGGAGACCATTCTTGTTAATTGGTCCCCTCCTCCAGAGGGGTACATCAAATTAAATTCTGATGGTTCTGCTTTAACTAATCCTGGCCAAACGGGGGCTGGAGGGGTTTTTAGGGATCATTTGGGTAACTGGCTGCTCGGTTTTATGCGGAATGTCGGTTATTCTACTGCTCTGGCAGCTGAGCTTTGGGCCATTAGAGATGGATTGAAACTGGCTGTGGATAGGGGCTTCACAAAAATTATTGTTGAAACTGACTCTAGAGTTGCCCATATTTTACTTAATTCAAATAGTTATCAATTCCACTCACTTGCAGCTTTATTGGATGATTGCAGGATGTTGGTGTCTCAGCTCCAAGACGTGCAAATTAAACACATATATCGTGAAGCAAACATGGTCGCTGACAATCTAGCCAAAGCAGGATGTAGTCTTACCTGTCCTTTTGTTATTTTGGATCAATGTACTACTGATGCTAGAATGCTTTTGTACTCTGATATTATAGGGAACCTAGTTCCCAGGTCTGTACCAACTAGCTAATCTTTTAGGTTATATCCCCGATTCAGTCCCTGAACTTTCATTTTTGGACTTAAAATATCCTCAAACTAAAAAAAGTACTAAAAAAATCCCTAAACTTCAATTTTTGGAACCATTTTGGTCCTTCCGTGGACGGAAGTGCCAGATGGCACGTTAAGTTGCCACGAAATCAATTATTGTTTGAAATATTTAATTACATGGAAAATAACTTATTATCCACGTCATTTTAATTAATTTATATATTAAAAAATTTAAAATT